GCAGCTGCATGTGGAGGAGCGGGGAATCGAACCCGGTTCACCAGATTACGAGTCCACCTCTCTAACCACTACACCACACTGGAGAACAATCCCCACCACCAACTCCACATTTTTCAGAAGGAGAACTTTCCTGCAAGGGCAACCGGTACAGTTTTTTGGGGGGGTCTAATAAAAAGGATTTGCTTAATCTCCCATAGTGTTTTATGTTCAGTTGGTTTGGAAATAGCAGGCATGAAACAGGTGGCCTGCTATATATATAAACAAAACCTGTCAAAGTGCAGATAGATAGGTCCAGGGGCTTTAATGCCAGGCCCCTTTGAAGTTGATTTGGGGGTAAAGGTAAAGGTAAAGGGACCCCTGACCATTAGGTTCAGTCGTGGCCGACTCTGGGGTTGCGGCGCTCATCTCGCTTTATTGGTGGAGGGAGCCGGCGTACAGCTTCCGGGTCATGTCGCCAGCATGACTAAGCCGCTTCTGGCGAACCAGAGCGGGTGGGCAGGACACCCCACTTGTCACTTTTTTCCAGGATGACAAGGAACCATTAATGAGTACTTCTGGGGTTCAGACAGTCAACCAGCTACAAATCCACCTAACAGTTACCTTATCCAGCCCACATTTTAACAGCTTCTTTGCAAGAATATCATGCAGGACTTTGTCAAAACCCTTACTGAAATCAAGATACATTACATCCATAGCATTCATTCCCCTGATCCACCAAGCTTGTAACTCCATCAAAAAAAGAAAAAGAAATGAGTTTTGACTTGCATGACTTGTTTTTGGGGAAACCCTTGCTGGGTCTTGGTAATCACAGCATCCTTTTCTAAGTGCTCACAGAACAACTGTTTAAATATGTGTTCTTAGACCAGGGGTCAGCAACTATTTTCAGCCGTGGGCCGGTCCACTGTCCCTCAGACTATGTGGTGGGCTGGACTATACAGTGGGTTACATACGCTTCAGGTTACAGACACTTCAGGTTACAGACTCCGCTAACCCAGAAATAGTACCTTGGGTTAAGAACTTTGCTTCAGGATGAGAACAGAAATTGTGCAGGAGCAGTGGGAGGCCCCATTAGCTAAAGTGGTACCTCAGGTTAAGAACAGTTTCAGGTTAAGAACGGACCTCCAGAACGAATTAAGTTCTTAACCCGAGGTACCACTGTATTTGGGGGGGGGAGAGAGATGAATGAATTCCTATGCCCCACAAATAACCCAGAGATGCATTTTAAATAAAAGGACACATTATACTCATGTAAAAACACGCTGGTTCCCTGACCGTCCACGGGCCAGACTGAGAAGGTGATTGGGCCGCATCCGGCCCCCAGGCCTTAGGTTGCCTACTGCTGTCTTAGACCCTTCTTTTAAAATAATGATGTTAGCTGGCCACTTAAGTGTTCTCATCAGCATCCCAAAAGAATGAGCAAAGTTCCAAGAATTCCGGCCAAGTGGGCCTCACCTAGCTGCTAGGATGAAGAACAATAGCCAAGGTAGTGTGTGACAGCTGAGCTGAACGCAGGCTGGAAGATGGAGACACACAGACCTCCCTGCTCTGTGCTGGATCCAAATTTGCTACCAATGGAGAAGTAGGATCTGTTTGGATGTTAATGCCATGGGCCCCTCCATCTTATGTTTTAGTTGCATCCATGTGGAAATAAACCATATATCCTAATGACGCCATAGTCTCTTCTGAGTTTTATTTCTAGGAAACCAAAACCCGAGGAAGTAGCTGGAACCTCTGATGCCTCTCACTGCTTGGTGATTGGGGTGGTGTGAAAACAGGCATTCACAGCTGGTACTTCCAAGGAAGACTGGGAGGAGATTAGAATCAAAAAAATTAATAAGCAAATCTTTCCGGGGTTTGTTTGTTTTCTACTAAAGCAAATAAAAGTAAATATTCACTGCACATCATCAATCATTTTGCAAGTACAGCTATTAGGCAACAGCAAAACCCTCTTTGTTCCCCGGTATAGCAGAACAATTGCAGAGTTAAAATGAAACATAAGCATCTATGGAGTTTGAATTATTTAGCAGACAGTATCCCTTACATCCCTGGACTTCTCTTTTGTACCAACCATGTGCATCTTAAAGTAATTCTGCATGCAATGATAACATTTTTCATCCCTATAATTAATTTACTGGAAATAAGTTAGGGAAACCACCACTGCCTTTCTCTTTTGATAGAATGCATGGATCTGTGATAAATTAACGAGGTATTCTTGCTCTCAAGCACGAAAACAATACAGAGGGAAAAAGGGGCGGGGAGAGAGAGAACCCACCAAATAGCATATTGAAATTATTGAGATGAACGCTTCTACAGTGGCTGCTTTTACCACAAAGCATATATTTCACTGTACATCTCAGCTGCAATCTTGTGTGCTGCTAAGGGTTACAAAACAAAAACGAGGCAGTGGGACTTAGTGCAAAAGGACTGCACTCTTTCCATGCTCTTGTGCAGGGCCATCTTAAGCATATCTGGCGCCATGTTGCAAAGATCCCTCTGGCGCCCCCCCCTTTCCAAGAGTTGTTGACCTTTTTTTAGGGCTGGAGGAGGTGCACACAGTGGCTGGAGGGCGGCTCCTCTGGCGGGGAAGAGGCGGAGGCTGGACACGGTGCCTCCCAGTTCAACTAGCTGCTTTGTGCCGCAGTGGCCATGGCAGGCAACACACTGAGAGAGCGGGCCTGCGCCAAGCGAGCGAGGGTGCGTGCGTTGCTCCCGCCGAACATCGACTCAGTTTTTTCCCTTTTAGCCTTCTGGCGCCCCGCAGAATCCGGCGGGAGCTGCGCACGCACCCTCGCTCACTCAGCGCGCTTGCTCAGTGTTCCCCGGACTCTCGCCTGGCACCCTCCAGAACTTGGCACCCTGGCGCCCCGCGACACTAGCCTCTATGGATAAGACGGGCCTGCTCTTGTGCAGCATCCATTTTCACAAGGATCACTTCAGCTGGAGCGAGCCAGTGTCACAGAATCACAGAACTGTTCCACTGTTGGATAGCTCTCACTGTCAGGAAGTTATTCCTAAGGTTTAGTCAGAATCTATTTCCGTAGGTTATCGAATTGTAGAGTTGTAAGGGACCCCAGTGGTCATCTAGTCCAGCCTGCTGAAGTGCAGGAATCACTCAGTGGGACTTAGTTCTGAGTAAAAATGCAGAGGATTGCAATGTAAAGCTACATGGTCTCTCCCTAGTAACCTGAGAGAAAGCTCTCTTGAATACAGTGGGACTTACTTCTGAGAAGACGTGTAAAGGCTTGCAGCTCCATTTCCAGTACAGGAATCAACACTCCCTGTGTTTCCTTAAAAAATGGCTGGCTGGTGAAGCATTTCAGCTCAAGCATTTAAAGTGGATTGGTGACATTTTCCTTCAAAATTATAGGAAGGGCTTCGTATGCCAGTTTCCCTATTTCCTTCATTTGGTTCAGGCATTTTATTTTCCATATAAACAGGACTCCGTTTTTACACCTACGCCCACACACAGCACTTTTAATTGTCCTCTGAGACGTGGAGGGGAGGAAAACTGGGACATTCCAGGAACAAACCAGAAACTGGGATGGCGACTGTAATTCCGGTACTGTCCCTGGAAAATCGGGACACTCGGAAGGTATGCAACCAGCAAGAATATGCATTTGTTAGGTTTGGCTGATAATCTCCCACACAATCTGGTTTGAAAACCTGAGGGAGTCCATTCTCCTGTTGAACAGCTCTCCCCACCAGAAAGTTATTCCTAAGAACTTGGTTTGGTTGGGTTGGGTTCTCCCTTCTTGTCATGTGAATCCATCATTGCAGTCCCATGTCCCTCCATCTCTGCAGCAACTCTGTGCCCTACACAAAGGAGGCTGGAAAGGCTGCCCTTTGCAAGAGGATGCCTGGGTCATCCATGTCCGGTCCTGCCCCTTTGTGTTCAGCTAACTGGTTGATCACCGAAGAATTGATGCTTTTGGATTATGGTGCTGGAGGAGACTCTTGAGAGTCCCATGGACTGCAAGAAGATCAAACCTCTCCATTCTGAAGGAAATCAGCCCTGAGTGCTCACTGGAAGGACAGATCCTGAAGCTGAGGCCTCCAAGACTTTGGCCACCTCATGAGAAGAGAAGACCCTGATGTTGGGAAAGATGGAGGGCACAAGGAGAAGGGGACGACAAAGGCCGAGATGGCTGGACAGTGTTCGCGAAGCTACCAGCATGAGTTTGACCAAACTGCAGGAGGCAGTGGAAGACAGGAGTGCCGGGCGTGCGCTGGTCCATGGGGTCACAAAGAGTCAGACACAACTAAACAACTAAACAACAACAAAACTGGTTGACAATAGCCGCATGGCTGCCTGCCCTCGCTTAGAGGATTGTGGAGCCACGTCCATGAAATCACATGCTAGTAAAACAACAACACCACTGCAGGTGAACATGACCCACGTCAAGTCCTTTGCAAACCACCACCACCCTTTTCATTTTGAGCAACCAGCTTTGTTTATGAGTCTCTAACATATTTGAGTGCCGGCTGAGGAGGTTTTTCTCCCCGACACTCCAGCAGGCGAGTAATTCCCTTTGCAAAAACATGTGAGCGGAATGCCAGCCAGACAATTAGTGCGGCTTTTATTTTGCCTGCTTGCCATCCTTGCTAAGCTGAAGGAAATTTGATTTATTTCAGTAATAGGGAGGCAAATGCACTGCTCCTTCTAAGCTCACCCTCTTGTGTGCCTCACCATATACATCGCTGAGTGGGGAGAAGGCAGGGAACAAACCGTGTCAACACACTGTGCTCAGCTGGAACAAGACCTGACGGCCACAATGTTCTTAGCTCAATACAATGCATGAGTTTGGCAAGGGGAAATAAAGGAGGAAGGTTATATCTGGCCCAAGAGCTGGACATTGGGATAGACTTACTCCCTTATTAGGGAAGGTTGCTGCATTTGGGACTTTTCAGTTTAGTGAAAAGGCAAGTAGAAGTTTATAATATTATGCTATGATAGAAGTTTATAAAATTATGCCTGGCATGCAGAGGGTGGATGGAGAAATTGTGGGATGTGAAACACAAGAGCAGTCAAGTACAACATTCCTAGAGTGAACATGTTTACACATGGGGAGGAATGTTTCTCCAGCCAGCAGGTAAACTTTGTGTTTCCTTCTGGGCTGGGACAGACTTCCTCTGCATGTGACTAGAGGTGGGCGTGGCCTCACCTGTGCAGGTAACAACAAAAGCACTAGGCAGGGCAGCCATCTCTTTTTGACTACATGCATTGAAGAAGCAACATCTGCTTAGCCTAAGATGCTCTCTTTACTTCCAGCCAAGAGAGGACAGAGGGACTGTCTTCTTATGGAATAGTTTCCAAGAGTGTATGTTACTTTTCTAAGCTAAGTCTGCCTTCTGGGATCCGGTTGTGAACAGAATGTGAGTAAACTCTTTTTATACTTCTATAGAAGACTGTGTCGTGTCTTATCTTTTATGAGGGAATAAGGGGAAAATACCAGAACAGTATTAGCGAGCCTGAGCAAACGCATCCGCTGTGCAAGTTTAAAAAGGGGAATGTTGACTTCCGGGGTCAGCGCCATCGGTAATGGCGGAATTCCTCTGACTAGGAGGAATTTGCTCTGTGGGAACCGGGTCTGGCCGTCACGGCGAGGGCGGAGACCCTTCAAAAATCACAGGCGGGTGAAGCCTGTGAACGTGGGATTCGGCGGGCACCTTTCGCGCCCCCCCTACTCGTGGGGAACCCCGATTTTGGGGCTCTGGAGCGAAGCGGGGTGAGTGGCGCGGTGCTGTGAATCGACTGCTTTTTCCACGGAGCGAAGCCGCACAGCCGTTGCCGGAGAGCGCTGACTTTTTCCTGTGGACAATTGGATTCTAAAAGCAACTACCCGTGAGTAGGATAAATTGGAAGTTTTTAAAGGAAAAAAAGGTTTAATTCGGCACTGAAGTGGGGAGGCTCAAACAGGAAGTCCGCCTTCCATTTTTGTAAATAGATCAAAGCAAAGAGCCTGCAAGCTAAAATCCTGGAAAATCGATCGGAAAGGACTAATTTCTCAACATTAAAAAGAAAAGTAAATCCCCCCCCTTGGAAGCAGGGGAGGAGGGGGGAGGTTTGACTATATATACCTGCAAGAGAGAGGGAAGGAAGTTAAAATTCCACCGCTCAGAACCTGGGAAGGGGCTGCCAATAGGACAATAAGACTGCCATATTCTGAAATGCGTTTTGACTGTGAATAGACCATCCGCTGACAGCTAGCTGAGTAAGAGAGATACATTGTTTTTAGCTGCCCCTCTTTTGATCTTAAAAAGGAGAAAAGTAACTGAAAAGTAACTGAAAATGGAAACTTACTTTCTTGTTTGAGTTGTGTTTTAAAAGGTGCTATTTTGGATTAATGCAAGAACAGATATCAATTGTTTCCCCCTAGAGGAAGTCTCTGAAACTGTTACAAGAGTTGGATCAGGGGAATTTTCCATTGCTAAGATAAAGCTGTGTGACTGTGGGACTGACCTTGGGTTTCTTTTTGTTTAAAAAAAGAAATGTTATGGCAGATGGGAAAGAAAAAGTAGATCCATCATTCCCAGACAAAACAACAAGGTCTGGGAAGCTCTGGCAGCGAAGAGCGTCTGCATCCGGCCCTTCTGCCTCATCCACGGCTGTACCAACACAATCTAAATCAAGAGGAATGTCATCAGAAGAAGCCCTAGCGCTTGCATTAAGTAAGATAAATGAATCATTGGAACAACTTAACAAGAAAGTAGATGCTACAAATGCAAAAGTGGATGCTACAAATGCAAAAGTGGATGCCACAAATGCAAAAGTGGATGCTGCAGTTATTAAAATTGATGCAAATACAGAAAGCATAAATAGTCTGGGACAAAAGGTGAATACTAACACAGAAACCATTGAGAAACTGATACAGGAATCTAATTCGACACGACAGACTGCAGAGGAAGTCAAGGAAAAAGTTGCTTCTGTGGAATTTAAGGTAACACAATTAGAAACAGAGAGAGTTCCAGATCTTCAGAGGCAACTTCAGGACCATAAGCTGACGCTTTCTATGATTGAGCTGAAGGAGAAACAGACAAATTTGAGGATCAGAGCTGTACCTGAACTGGAGAAGGACAGTTTGATAGACTTCTCACGCAGGAACTTGCAGAATTTTGGGAGTTGGATTTGGAACAAGAGGAATTTAAAATTGTGAGGGCCTTTAGACTGGGAAGAGGAGGGAAGAAAGAGAAGAACAGGATAAGAGACTGTTTGATTACCCTCAGATCCAAAGAAGAGAGAGACAGAATTTTGGATTGGCACTACCAGAAGACATTGGTAATACAACAGTCAAGAGTGGAAATATTCAAAGATATCCCGAAACATCTTTTGGACCTCAGGTCCAATTACGGAGATTTGGCTGCCCTGCTGAGAAGGAACCAAATCATCTTTAGGTGGGAATTTCCCCAAGGCCTATCCTTCAGCTTTAAAGGAAGGAAAATAAAAATAAGATCAGTAGAAGATAAAGCAAAGTTTTTGAATAATTACGAGGAAGATCTGCAGAAGGAACTTGGAAAAGAGTCAAGAGCATCGGACAGAAGATCACCAGACAGAGGACTAGAGCAAAGAGCATTGGACAGAAGACCACCAAAAAGAGGAATAGTGGACATTGCAACACTACCTTTTGGACTGGACCGTCTAGCGACACCGACACTACCAACAGAAGAAGAGCAGGCATTGGGTGCAGTTGGAGGAAAATCAGACTAATTACATCATGGCACTGCAAGTATTAAGCTGGAATGTGAATGGACTGAACTCCCCGGAAAAAAGGCGGAGAGTCTTTCATTTATTGAAAAAAGAACAATTGGACTTGATTTGTTTGCAAGAAACACATGTGACAAGGCTACACAGGAAGATATTGAGTAACAAAAGATTGGGCCAAGAATTTATTTCATCAGAGAAAGTTAAAAAAAGAGGAGTAGTCCTTTATGTAAAGGAGAGCCTATCACCGAAATTTATATTTAAAGATGACCAAGGAAGATTTGTTGCAATTGAAATTCAATCACAAGGAGAGAAATTTTTGATAGTAGGCATTTATGCACCAAATGAGGGAAAATCGGAATTCTACAAGAAGTTACATGAGACTCTGATGGACTATATGGATTACAATATGATTTTGATGGGGGACATGAATGGAGTGGTGTCTACAAATATGGACAAGGCACTGAGACAGGTAGTCACCAAGGATGGTAGACTTCCAAAAACTGTTTTTGATATGACTGACAATAGGGATTTAGTTGACATCTGGAGAATGAAGAACCCTTTGGGAAGAGAGGGAACTTTCTTCTCTGAGGCCAAAATGACATGGACAAGAATTGACCAAATTTGGGTAACTAGAGGGTTGGCTCCGAAGATTAGAAAAGTGGAAATTTGCCCTAAAACTTACTCCGATCATAATGCTGTGAAGATGGAAATGAAATTAACACCAACTGGTTCCTTTAGATGGAGGATGAATGACACTTTGTTTAGGAATGAAGAAGTGACTAAGAAGGCCCAAAAAACCTTGAGAGATTATTTTGAGATTAATATGAACACCACTACTGAAAAAAGAGTAATTTGGGACGCAAGTAAAGCGGTTATGAGAGGATTCTTGATACAACAGAATGCAATTATGAAGAGAGTTCAAAATGAGAAAAAAGATAAGATTTTGGAGAAAATAAAGGAAGGAGAGAAGAAATTGAGAGTGAAACCAAAGTCGCAGGAGATCCTGAAAGAGATAAAGTTATATCAAGTACAATATATGAAAATGATGAACCAGGAAATAGAATGGAAAATTAAACAGATGAGACAAAAGACATTTGAATCGGCAAATAAATGTGGGTAACTGCTGGCTTGGCAAATGAAAAAAAGACAAAAACTTAATACCATTACAAATTTGGAAGTGGTAGGAAAAAATATACAGAATCCAGTGGAGATCAGAAAGTGCTTCCAGAGGTAGCATATACACAGGAGACGCAGAAAGAAATGGACATTGACCGATTTTTGAAAACAAATGGATTACAAAAAATCTCTCAAGAAAGCAAACTAATGTTGAACTATAAAATAACGGAGCAGGAGGTAGAAGGGGCCATCCAGAATATGCAATTGGGCAAATCTCCAGGACCAGATGGTTTGACCTCAAGATATTATAGATCTCTGAAAGAATGGTTAGTACAGCCATTAAAAGAAGTTTGTAATGAAATCTTGGAAGGGAAAAGGGCACCAGAGTCGTGGAAGGAAGCATATATCACACTTATACCGAAAACAGAGTCTGAGAAGACACAGTTTAAGAACTACCGCCCCATATCTTTGCTTAATGTGGACTATAAAATTTTTGCAGACCTTTTGGCTAAAAGATTAAAAAAGGTACTAGTAGAAGAAATTCATAAAGATCAAGCGGGCTTTCTCCCGGGCAGACACATGTCTGACAATACGAGGAACATAATTAATATTCTAGAAAAATTACAAGTGAATATTAACACTAAAGCAGTTTTGATATTTGTGGACGCGGAGAAAGCCTTTGACAATATTTCCTGGAGTTTTATGAAGAAGAATTTACAGGGGATGGGGGTTGGTCAAGGTTTTGGAAATGGTATAGGTGCAATTTACTCAGAACAAAAGGCTAAATTAATTGTGAATAATGTAGTGATGGAAGAATTTAAGATAGAGAAAGGAACACGACAAGGTTGCCCAATCTCCCCATTGCTTTTTATATCGGTCTTGGAGGTGCTCTTAAACATGATTAGAAGGGACCAAATGGTTAAAGGTATACAAGTCGGAACTAAACAGTACAAATTGAAAGCATTTGCCGATGATTTGGTATTGACATTACAGGAGCCAGAATCTAGTACCAAAAGAGTACTGGAACTGATTCAAGAATTTGGTCAGGTAGCGGGTTTTAAGTTGAATAAGATGAAAACTAAGGTTTTAGAGAAAAATCTAACAGTGACTGAAAGAGAGAGGTTTCAGAAGGAGACAGGATTAACACTGGTTAAGAAAGTGAAATACCTAGGGGTCAATATGACCGCCAAAAATGTGAATTTATTTAAGGATAACTATGAAAAATGCTGGATGGAAGTGAAAAGGGATTTAGAAATATGGTCAAATCTGAAGTTATCATTGCTAGGCCGAATTGCTGTGATAAAAATGAATGTATTGCCAAGGATGCTGTTTTTGTTCCAAACATTGCAAATTTTGGATAAAATGGATTACTTCAAGAAGTGGCAGAGAGATATTTCTAGATTTGTCTGGCAGGGCAAGAAGCCTCGATTAAATTTAAGATATTAACTGATGCTAAAGAAAGAGGTGGATTTGCCCTGCCAGACTTTAAACTTTATTATGAATCAGCCGCGTTTTGCTGGCTGAGAGAATGGCTGCTTCTTGAAAATACTGACGTGCTGGACCTAGAAGGTTTTAACA